CAACAAGAATACACTTGGGATCTAGCATGGGAAAAAATGAATGGGCATACATGGGACACATCTTTCAAAGACTTACAAGAAAAAAAGTTTATTCATCTGAAGAAAGTGAAACTGATCCAGAAAACTCTACTAAAAGAAGAATAAATGTATATAATTATAGTTAATATTCTAAAGAGATATTTTTTTGCAAAATATTTTATGCTGAATAATTAAACTATTAATTATAATTACTTATAGTTAAAGGATTTGTTGAAATATTTGGATAAATATTTGAAATCAATTCAAGTGTTCCAGTTGACTTTTAAATGATATTGTGACAATTCATATTTCAATAATATGATATCACCAGAAGATTTGTCATATTGAATATATAGTTTGAAAAAGATTTCAGAATGTGAACACAAAAAAGAGATAGGAAAGAATAAAGAACTGACAATTAAATTTAAAATATGAAAAATAACTAAATATGGGGAATTATTAATATATTCAAAGGGTGAGAAACAAACTGGGAAAAATATATAAATGAGTGAAATTCAAGGATAGTTAGATTAAAAAAATAAAATAAAAAATCTTGGAAAACATTTGGTAAGATAAAATCAATTATAATTATTTTTAAAAGAATAAAGCTTAAATCTTTGAAGGCAAAAGAAAAGTTAAGTGAAAGAGAAGAAAGAGAAAGAAGAGAAAAATGATGAATAATTTAATCAATTGATTTTGTAATTTTTTAATAAATTTTATGAAATTTGTTAAACTTCCTGAATATTTATCAAATTTCAATACTAGATTTGTAATTTTTGCTAAATTTTTTACTACAGTAATTTTTTTGCTGAATTTTTTATCACAATATCAATTTTTTGTCAAATTTTTTATCAAAATAATTTTTTTACCAAAATTTTTGCTACAGTATCAATTTTTTATTACAGTATCAATCAATCTTTTTGATAAATTTTTTACTGCAATATGCAAAAATTTTTTTTTGTCACAGTATACAAATTTTTTTTTTGCTGCAATATTGTTGGATTTCATGTCAAATTTTTTTGTTGAATATGTCAAAAATTTTTTTCTGATTTATTGTCAATATTTTTTATGTCAAGTGGTAGCAATTATAAATAATTCATCAATATTTTTATTATTGATTTTTGTCAAATTTGACAATAATTTGACAGCCAAATAACATAATTTCGACTAGTGTACTGTATAATAATATCAATATGCTAATAATAAGGTATATATTAGAAGAATTTTTATTCAAAGTCTATTGTGAAACAACATATTATTCCAAAATCAAATTTAAAATCTATTATTACTTATGATAAATTAATTAAATTGATTTATGAAATTTAACTATAGTATATATTATGTTGCTTGAATAATAATTCTTGTTTTCTATTGATTCACAAACTATTATCTAACTTGGTTACAGGTATTACAAAAAAAAAAATTAAATTAAATATTGTATATAAAACAATTTTTTAAAAATCTAAAAATTTTATAATAATAAACTATTGATTATTATATTTTTAATTGAAAAAAATAATATTTTTAAAGTAATATTTAAAATTCATAATAAATTAGATCGTGATATACAGTACAATAAATAAAAATGGTTATTAAATTTTTAGTAAAATTTACAGCGTTCGGCCCCTCGGTAAGTAAATATAAAAAGATGGTGTTTTTTTTCAGAGGCAGCTTTATATTATGATACAGTATATTGAAACCAAAGAGAAAAGAATGATTTTGACATTTCGTATAGTGATATCAATAATGAGTAAAAAGTAGTGCCGTCCATTTCTTTCTTTCTTTGGACATTAACAATACTGCGCATATGGAGTATACCGCGTATAATATTACCATATGCAGTATATTTAGGTCAAATAAATATTTTTCGATAGCACGAAACATTTTAATAATACCCGACACGCATACTGTGTGATGGTTGTGATTAATGTTTTATATTGCATTATTTGTTTCATAATTAAAAATGTGTTTTGCAAATATTTACATTAATTTTCGGTAGGATGCAACTTTTTAAGTTTTCAGAAGGTAGTACGCTACATTTAACCTTAGTGCACAATGGGGGGGGGTTAAAAGAAAGATACGTAATTAGATTCCATTACAAATTTGGTTACCCTCAACATTAATGGATTCCGCTCTAAAAACCACACTTGCAGTATACCGGAGCAATTTCAAATTTTGCATCGATTAATCAAGTTGATGCTAGCTACATTCTTTTATGAATTTGATTTGTACAATAGCTTGCATTCCAAAATATACAGTGTACTGTAGTTTACTGTACATGCAATCAACCAAATACGTTCTCTAAGCCATCTTGTAAAAGCACTTACATCTTTCGGTTGATCCTTTCATAGAAAAAAACGTAACAGAATACCTGCACCTGGAATCATAGTTTATAAACAGAGGCAGCGCTAGCCCTGTGCACTTGACCATCCCACTAGCCATCAAATGACCCGATAAAATCTTACTGCACTTTGACATAACCAACCAAGTGCCTTATCTAGTACATTATAAATAAATAAATAAAATTTTTTTTGACTAAAAAATTCCTTTTTCTCTCAGTACTCTTTTGTCATCCTATTAAGTTTATTGTATCCATGAATAGTAAACCCGAACTAGCATTGTGAATGAGGGAAAATTTGAGGATTGAAATCACACATAAAACGGTAGTCACAACTGACACTAAAAGTTTTGGTTTGATTAAGAAAAAAAAAAAAAAAAGATAGTTTACAAGAAGAATGTCTGATCCGATTGATTCCAATAATAAAGAGTATGAGTATCAAGATCCGCCTGTTCGTTGGTAAAGTGTTTATTATTTTACTATGACCATCAAATCCTATTCGAACATTTGAACAGATTTTCCTCCTAATTCCTTCTTTTTCACAAACTCGATCCTCCTTTGTACTTGTGGAATCATGCGCTTTTACAAAATTTCCCTATTGTCTGAATAACGTCGCCGCACCCCGGTCGCAAAAAAAAAAGGTTTCACGCAGTGGACATTCCATCGTGGGATCCCACCAAACAATATAAGCCGAAACCGCCCACCCGAACCAATACCAAAGTAAAAAATCCCGACCAGGTGGAGGAAGAGGTGGAGGAGGATTGTCCCATGGAATGGATTCCATTTTCGAAACGCGATTCCAATGCATTGGAAGCTACCTGTAAACTTAAAGTAGCTGGAAAGAAGGTTTGTTGTAACGAAGATTATCTATTCGAGGTAGATCTGGATAACAGAGAGATTAGTCCGGTATGTTTTAAAAATTGTGGCAGTTGAAAGTTAGGATACGGATATGATCATACCACCTTAGATACACGATCTTCATTACAATTCGTAATCGCACCTTATCTTACCCGATAGATATATTGGATTGGACCTGTATATCAGGTTGTAAGAGCAACATGGTTCTATCAGGCTTATGGCAAATTCATACCGTGCGACGAAAATCTCTCCGAGCAGATCGAAGACGGTTACAAGTGAGTGCCTTTCATACTCGAACACATTACATCAAGCTCAAAATGCGCATCTCTTTAATATACAGCATTTTATAATAAGAAATCACAAAGCATGGATTCCGCCTCCCGATGCTAGCGATGAAGACAAAGTCAAGAAACAGCCACAGGCGGAAAAGAATTGGTACCTCACGGAAAGGTATGATGGGCAGTATGTGGTCTACGTGAACCCTGTGATGGCTTGGCTGTTTTTGTAAGCTTCCTTTTCTTCCTGAGTCACGCATTGGTTGTACCATTCTAACTCTCATTCGATACTACTATTATTTGGTGCCCCTGATTATTTTCTATACATCATACCTAACAGAAATGACTTCACCGGAAGCGTCGCAAAGACACTAATTACCACATTTACCCGAGGTGAAAACCGTGGTGGCGTCCGATTGATCAGGGGGTTTCCTGAGGTGGAGAATTATTTGTCGAAAAAGCCACCTCCGAAGAAACCCGAGAAAAGCACCTCAGACGCTGCGTTCAATGACAGCGAATCGAAAAAGAAGAGCGAGGATGAGGCTGAAAGAACAAAGAGGTTGAATCAGCAGAAACAAGAGGCCGAGGATTACGAAGATTCGGAGGGGCCAGAACGGGAAATTGATCATTTGATATTTTGTATACATGGGTGAGTCCATCTGCATGATGGGAGGAAGGACAAGAATTACAGTCTTTCCAAGATTTCGTGCTGAATATAATCTCTTGTTGATTAGAATTGGACAGAAATTAAGTGAGCGAGCTGGTTACCCAAGTTTTGTTCATGGTACACACGACACTCATAAATCTCCTTTTTACGATGGATCAAAACCAATATTTTTCCTAACATCCAAAATCCTCATTCATGCACACCTAGAGGTAAATCTCCTACGCCGAACCCTGAAGAACATCTACGCCACAAATCCACCACCCGAAGCCACGTCAAGAATGAGCAATCGTAAAACGAATCCTAATTACGGACGTAGAAAATTTACAAAGGGAAGTCAAGTTGGAAATGGTGTTCAGGTGTTGCCCATACATTGGAGGCAGGATATCAAGGTAACCATCAGGGTCATCGATTTTGGGTGATGCATGATCCTTCTCTTTACACCACTTTTCATTTTATTGAAAGTTTGGCATGGCATCGGAGGACAATAAAGTAAGACGTAATTTGAATTCAGCTATAAGTGAAGAGGGTCAGCCAACGTTGGACGAAATCACGTTAGACGGAGTGCCAAATTTGAGAATGTTGATTTCCGACGCGTTGATGGATGGTATGCCTTAACGTTGCACACCTGTACATATTCCCATTCTCACGATTCCCTATTATATGTTACATCGCAGTCTTATTATACATGACGCCAAAATTCAGGGACATGATACTCACAACTGTTGTTCGAGAGATGAACCGAGTATACAACCTGTTCATCGATCGCAATCCAAAATTCCTAAAACACGGCGGAAAAATATCCATCTACGGTCATTCGCTTGGTTCGTTGGTGGCATTTGACGTCCTCTGTCAACAATCGCTCATGACTTCTCCTTTTAATAATGCAAGTGCACCTGATAACTGCAGTCGAAACGACTCCTATGACACATACATTAGTCATGGGCATGGTAGGGGAGGTGACCATTCGAGATATGGTTCCGTTGATTTTTATGGCCCGAACGAGTCATCGGACGCCGGGTTTGGCAATGGTAACGGAGGGGCCCATCACGCCCGCGATAGAAGCGGAAGTATTGGACGATCCAATGAACGGAATGATAAACATAGATCAAATGGCAGCGTCCTGAATAGTCAACAGAATTACATATTCGATGAACCAGAACAAGCTAGCTTTGCTATTGATGAACGACGTCACTCGCATCACTTCAAAGAAGGAAGAATTCGTTCCAGCCATCGGAATGTAAATCGCCATCGTAGCGATGACGATTTCAAACATCAGCAGTTGAAACATAAACAATATAAACTGGATTTTGAAGTGGATAATTTATATTGTGTCGGATCGCCGATCGGGTTATTCCTGTTGTTGAAGGGAGTCAAAATTGGATCGCGAAAACATTACCAGGTGATCAACAAAATCAGTGAGTCAAAGAATTGGGAAAATGTCAGTCTGGACAATCAGGATGATGATGGGGTGAATGATGATGTAACCGGAAGAAAAGGTTCTCAAACGGAGCTCGATCCATGGGAGCAACAGCTGATATTGAATGACCAGGCAACTATGATACCACTTTGTTATCCGGCCGTGAGGAATCTTTACAATATATTCCATAAATCTGGTAATATGATTGCTTCTTTCATCCTTTAAGATAAATACGAATTCATATTAACAACGCTTGATGTAACCTAGACCCCATCGCCTATCGATTAGGTAAAATTCTTGATGCTTTTTTTGGATTCCCACAATACTTACATGTGGGTGATTGAATCCAACCCTCTCTAAATCTGACCGTCTCTCACGCTCACTCTGATATAAATAGAACCATTAATAGCCCGTCACTACGGCGCGTCCCTGAAGCCTGCGTTGATTCCGTATCATAAGGGCGGGTTAAAGGCTATGCAACTTGGCATTCAAGAATTCGGTTCAAGCATCTCCCGCAAGACAACAACCATCTTCTCATCCATCATTTCCACTTTCAGTTTCAAGAAAACCGAAACTATATCTGAAAAGCAATCAGAAAACCGGAAAAAGATTGACCAACAAACTTTAATAAAGCAACAACAGATCCAACGGCTGCAACACCTTACCCAGTCTGAACCAAATTTACCACATGGTACGTTTTTGGATGTAACGGATTTATCCGGTGAGTTCAGCAATACTTCATCGACGGATGCGAAGGATTTGAGAAATGGACATTCGAAATTGGTTTATGCACATTCGTCACCCAACATATCGACCATGGATGGTAGCAGCGTCAGCGATTCGCGACGTAATTCTCAGGATGGTACGGTGGTGAGTGAGGAGGGAAGTTTATATGCCAGCGAATTGTACAGAGATATGAATGGAAGTGTGATTGGACTGACGGCAGAGGCGAGGGACAAATTCTATCAAACGCATATGTCTTCGACGCCGGTATTGCTGGATGACGGAAAATTGGATTATGATATCGCCGGAGAGGAGAAGTTACTAAGCCTGAATAAAAGCGGGAGAGTTGACTATTGCTTACAGGCAAGTGGATGGATCAAAGTTAGAATTAAAATCCCAAGGGATTATCATAACTATCTTTTTTCTTAACGATGAATACGAATTTCAAAATTCACACAGGAAGGAATATTGGACGTGAGTTATCTTTCCGCGATAACCGTGCACTTAAATTACTGGACGGATTGTGATGCCGCGTACTTCATATTACAAGAATCTTATAAAATCTATGAATCTTGATTGTCGGCATGAATAAAAAGAATTTATGCAGGGTCGGATTTTTTTTAAACGGAGCGGCGGGATGAAAAAAAAATTTATTTTCTTTTTTTATTTAAACCGGCATATAATTAAAAGTCGTATAAATATTTCGGTTTTGTAAAGTTTGTATTTTATTTAATGGTATTACACATTCTGAAATTCTAAATTGAATTCGAACCACTGTATCTTGTGGAAACAATAGAAGTTCAAAGTCCGCACGAAATTGACGCGATTGACATAAAAGCAATGATTTTCATAAAAAAAAAAAAATCGGGTGTCGTCGTCCCGACGCATGCGTATTACTTTTTCGGATTATGCAAGATCAATACTAACGATTGGCAGGCCATTGGTCAACATACAAATGCCCCTTAAAAAAAACGTATATAAGCGAGTATGAAGGGGGAGACTCATTTTATTCGTGACACGATTATATACAGTACGTATAATATTCGTGCCTAACTTAACAGGTAGTTGCTAATGTTGATAATAAAACTTTCCATTAATAACTAATATAGTTAAACGAAATCTCAGGACATAATCTTGTTAGACTGCGCGCGTCAATATCGATGACTACCCACATCTTGGTTATCGCGAAGATGCCAATACCATTTCCTCCTGCGTACACACGGCACATATTAATAAGTATTCTTTAAGCCTTACAACCAAATTAGGTCCTTAATTAAATTACTTTGTTAGATAACACTTATGCGTACGTGCTACCTAATCGAGCATCGCCACCTGAATAGACATCAACGATTCACGTGCGATTGACGCAATTTCACACGTATAGGAAGATTTGATACTTATACATACATCAAAGATGATTCGTAGGTGTACGCCCATCTTTCACTTTCTTTAACAAACACCTCGCATCGACGAAGAGACAAACCAAAATGTCGACCGGTGATTTACTTGAAGAAGTTTTGATTTATCTAGGTTTACTGATAGACTACGTCAGCTATGCCTATAATACTTTTCTGAGCATCTTTTTCTTTAAATTCTTGCATCAACAACCATTCCGAGTTCACCTGCCCACCGAAACCTTCCATCCAGCTGTGCTCATAACCGGAACCTCCAGTGGCATCGGCCGTAACACCGCTCTTGAATTGGCCAACCGCGGATACACGGTATTTGCTACCGTTCGTAAGCAGGAGGATGACGAGGATCTAAAGGAAACTTTTAAGCGTTACGAAAATTCAAAACAGGGTTCCTTGATTCCTGTTATTATGGATGTCACAAAAAAAAAAGACATTCAAAATGCCTACAAAATCATCAGAGAAAAGATTGGACGGGAAATTCCGTTTGTGGGGCTGATTAACAATGCTGCTCATGTCATGCACCTGCCTCTCGAGGTGGCATCAGAAGATGTTTACACCGAAAGTTTCAATACGAATTATTTTGGAATCGTCAATCTGACAAAGAAGTTTCTGCCATTGTTAAGAGAGGGCAATGGGCGAGTTATTAATATCGGGAGCGTCGGATCCTGGGAAACTTTACCTTCCATGGGTGTTTATGATTCCACGAAAGCTGCTTTAAGGGCGATGACGAGGGCTTGGAGGTTGGAGTCGAGGTTGACTGGAGTACATTTTTCCTTGATCGAACCAGGTACTAAGAGTCATCTATTACTTATTAATCAAAGATGAAATGAGTCGAGCTTGCTTCGTTTGGTCCGTATACCTCACATGTCTTTCTTCTTGATCCTACAATTCAGGAATCATTGCGACCAGACTAACGAATCGAACTATAGAAAAATATCGCACTTTCTCATCATTCCCCCCAAATTCGCCTCACTATGACCTTCCTCACAACATCACCTCCAATGTACTTGAGTCCTACGAGAATATTTACCGAATGGTGGGAAGGTGGAGCGAGACTTTCTATGGCAGAGGTTCTCCGCCAGCTATTGTGACCGACGCTATTGTACACGCATTGAGTTCGCAGTATCCCAAGAATACTTATTATGTGGGTCTTGACGCTCGAATGGCCTCTCTACTGAATTGGATATTTGGGGATAGGGTTATTGAAGTTGTGCTGGCCAAAGCTTTGACTCCTCCAACTGAAAGCGTTCATGCGTGAACTATATATATTAAGAGTTTGATTTCTTGTAAAATTTACTATTTATATATTCAAATTTTTGCATCGCATTCTTATATATTTGATCGTTCCCACATAATTAATCCAAATTATTAGTTAGTTAATAACCATTTATCACATAGCACATTTGACTCCATTAATTATAATTATCGACCTTTCTGAATCTTCTTTTGACCAAAAGCAAAATGAGGAAGGTGTATACAAGTCGAAATGGAATTTCGATCTCGACTCGATTTCTGTCATTCTGCGTTAAATATTTTGACACGTGAAAAGACTAGTATACAAAAGGCGAACAATGTGCTGATAAAATTCACTATATTTATAAAAGTTAGAAACGTAATACTCAATGACCGGCGCCAATATTGGCATGGTACACGTCCGACGGGTTAGCGATAATCTCAAGAAAGAGGGTTACGGATGATAATTGCAAACAGCTTTTCTAATAGAAAACGATAGTTACCATTCTAAATGGCAATAAATAAAATAATGGTTTTTGCATTTTCTAAAATAAAACAAACAATTGTTATGCATAAAATACCGTAATCTATTATTTCTTCGGGAATCTTTTTTACAGGTGTATTCACAATTTTATTGATCTTATGTATCTATCGATAAAATATTTATTTATTTATTTTTCTTTTTCTAAAAAAAAAGAGCTTGCTTATATGGTTAGAAAAATCTTTTTATAAATTCAGTATATAATAAAAAATTTTTTGATACTTGACAAAAAAGTTAAAAACTATGAAATCTTTATTATCTTAAAAATTGTTCATTAATAATAAAAAAAAACTTTTTTCATTAGTCCTCTAATTATACGCAAAAAATATATAGTATGTACATAAAGCTTTTATATCTTTTTGTTCAATAAAATCTTCAAGAATCACTACTATACAGTATAATTTCTTTTATTTGCAATTCTCTTTAATCGAAAATTTGATTTCTAATAATCAAAAAGAATCAAATAATACTCTTATTATCAATAACAAAAAAAAATTTTTTTTAAAAAAAAAAGAAAAATTAATTATAAAATATTTAAAGTTTTTTTATTTTTGAAACAAGTTTCTATAAAAAAATTTCTATATTAAAGGATATGTTTATTGCTATTATTATTATTATTTAAATTATTTTGAAGCTCTTGTTTTATATTTTTCAAAAATTTTTTATTTATTTTAATTCGATTTTAAATAAAAAAAAACTCTTTTTACTATATTCTAATCATATAATTTTTTTAAAACAATTTGAAGTATGACTTTAAGATTATTTGTATCCTTTTTTTGTTGTTTTTAAACCTTTTTACTCAAATATTTAACTTTCAGTAATCAAAAAAAGTCAAGTAATACTTTTTATACTAATGGCAAAAAGGTTTTTTTAAAAAAAAACCTTCAACTATAAAGTACTTAAAGAAGTTTTTAACTTTTGAAATAAAAGACTTATAGAGATTTTCTATAGTAAAAAGATATATATATTTTTTCTTTTACCTGTTTTAGTTTTTTTGAAACTTTTATTTTCATAGTTTTCTTTTATTTACTTTAGTTTAATTTTAAATTTTAAATAATATAAATTCTTATTAAAAATAATTGATCAATATATAACTCATTAGTTTTTAAAATATAAATAAATTTCTATTGATTATACTTATACAGTATATTCTAATAATATTATTGATAATTAAAAAAGTGAATAAAAAAAACTCTTTCTGCTGATTAGTGTTTACAATTTTGAATCGGATACAAATTAGATCAGATCAAATTTCAAAATTTTTAATCTGATCAGATTTAGGTCTAATCGAATTTTAAATTTACAAAATTATTGGATTCAAATTGGATTCAAATTAGATTCGGATCAAACCCAATATAATTCAAATCAGATATGCATCAATCTATCAGTCCATATAAATTATTATATAATTATTTAATTTCATTTAAACGAACTATCTAGAAAATTAAAATAGTTTTTTTTTTAAAAAAAACAATATAAAAGGCAAGCTAAAAAAAATTCACTACTTTGCTCTTCTTGATAATTTTTTAA